TCCTTGCTGTAGGCTGGATGGCGCAGGGTGTCCCCACACTTAAGGGCCAGGAATTTAGCCAGTGTGTGGGTAGGCTTCCTCTTTTGCCATCACTGAAGGAAGTAACATTAGTTTTAAACTTTTAGCATCTAAGACTTACAGTATGTTGCAAGTTGATTCATATTGAATTAGTTTGTATATTTGATACCAGATCAGCAAACTTCCTCATTAAGTAGAAAAACAAACCAGAGACAAATCTATTTTAGAACCTGGATTTTAACTGTAAGTCAACTATGAGGTTTTTAAAATTAAATGTAAGAAGAAATGGAATAACACAAATTTAGCTTCCTATGAATTATGATAAGGTAATGTGGAGCTAAGGTGAGGAAGTAAGAAAAGATAAGACTGAATAATTCCAGAGTAAAAGCTCAACCCCCCAAAACCTCCAGCAGTATAACATTAAAAAACACTTTGCTCAAAATTGATTCCCTAGTTCTTGCGGGTGTGGGGTGGTGGTGTGTGGATGTGTCAGAATGGGTGCATGAACTTGTTTGCACATGTGGAGACTAGATAAGGACTTTCTGTGCCCTACTCCACCACTGTCTTATTTTATTCCCTCAAGACAGGGTCTTTTGTTGAACTGGGTGGTATAGATTTTTCTTTTTTTTAAATTATTTTTATTTAAATTAGAAACAAGTCTGTTTTACATGTCAATCCCAGTTCCCTCCCCCTTTCCTCCTCCCCTGCCCCCTACCATCCCCCAACCCTCTACTCCACCCCTCCTTCGCTCCTCAGGGAGGGTGAGGCCCTCCATGGAGTATCCCCAAAGTCTGTCATATCATCTGGGGCAGGGCCTAGGCCCTCCCCCCATGTGTCCAGGCTGAGATATGGAATGTGCTCCTAAAGTCCATTCGTACACCACGGATAAATATTTTCTTTTTTTAACTCTTCACTTCTTATCTCTTTGGGAGGATCAGTCTTATTCTTTCTTATGAAAACCTGGTCTTAGCTTTGCTTATTTCTAGCCATGTTTTCTTAACTTAAGTTGTCCTGTCTGCCTTTTGCCTCTGGGCTTTTATCTTTTTCTATTCTATATGCCTCCTTTACTTCTTACTCCATGGCTTGCTGTGTAGCTGGGTGTCTGGCCCCTGGTGTCCTTCTCCTTCTCTTGCTCCCCTATCTTCTCTTCCCAGATCTCTTCTATTTATTCTCTCTGCCTGACAGCCCCGCCTATCCTTTATCCTGCCTAGCTATTGATCATTCAGCTCTTTATGAGACCAATCATATGTTTTAGACAGCCAAAGTAACACAGCTTTACAGAGTTAAACAAATGAAACATGAAAGAATGAAATACATCTTTGCATCACTAAAGAAATATTTTGCAGTATAAACAAGTATAACACATCTTTAGATAATATTCCAAAACAGGCTGGTAGGCCCAAGTCCCAGACGCCCTCCTGTCTCCATCCCAACAGTATTAGCATTATAGGCATTTGGAGGTTGGTGGGATCTGACCCCAGGCCATCAGGCTTGTGAGACAAGTGCTTTTACCCACTAAGCCATCTATCCAGTTTCTGACTGCACAATTTTATATGATTTACTTTTTAGAATTTTTATTCTCATGGGCATACAAAATAAGGATTATAGGATACAAGCAGCTTTGTAACTTTTTAAAAAATTAGTAAATGAACATTTTTCATCTGTTACAAGACCCCCCACAAGACCCCCAAAACAATAAGACACACCTTGCAATGGATAGCCTTCCATTTTATAAGTGTGGCACAATACATTTAATTAATACATAAAATATCATATTTGCTCCCAATGTAATGGCATTCTGATTTTAATTTTATTCAGGAACAAAGTATTCTGAATAAATGTATATTTAGAGTATTTGTCTACAGAACTGCCTTTGCCAATGGATGAAATTTTCTATTGTCTTCCAAGCACATTTTCCTAAGTGACTGTTTCTCAAACTTGTGATCCTCCTGCCTCTGCCTCCTTCAGCAAATCTTACCAGCATGCACCACCATAACCGCTCTGGCTGTTTCTCAACACTGTGATTCATGTCACAGGGACCTACACTATTTAAAATACAATTTTTAAAAATTCTTCTCTCATACATTATATCCAGATCACAGTTTTCCTCCCCCACCACTTCCAGTTTAAAAATAAAATTTTATTTTCAAAATTATTGACAAGTATGTGTGTTTCTGCAGAATTTTCCACTTCAAGACTTCTAAGGTTAAGGAAATTGGTGTAATCCTTTTTCCACAGTAAAATTAAAGCAATGCCACAATAAAGGCATTATACTAAGCGGTGAGTGACTCAAGAAAATGCCTTTAATTAAAGAAAACACACGCAAAAAATGACATTTAATCACCAGCTTTGTTTGTAAGTCATTTGTTACTAAGAAAGCTTGAGAAAGTTGAGATCTGAAAGTCAATTGAAAGTCCACTATTGTTCAGGCTCTCTGAGATTCTGAGTCAGGTGTTCCCAAGTCTCATGTTCCAACCCAAGTTCTTTTTTTGTTTTTTGTTTTTTTTCTGTTCCAAAATATACTTACATTAAATAAAATATGCATTTCAGCATGATCTACAGTGAATGACTATGCATTCTGGGAAGCTTCACATCTAGGCAGGGCCAACATTCGTGAAAGAAGCTAAGAGAATATGCATCCAATCACAGCTTATAGCAGGTTTCTTATTGCCAATCTGCCAGTCACACCGAACATGTCATTATATCATTTGTGCAGGACACCGATTATGTTGGGGGGAAGGGAAGCAAGCGCTATCCCCAATGGTGAGTTCGTTACAACTTCGGAGGAATCCCACAGACTAGACAGTAGAGTTTCAGTAAACATGTTAAGAGAAGCAGACAACGCTCTCGAGGCCCAGACACATTTTCTTGCTGTATTGTGTAGTCAGGAGGATGGTCTTCTTCAGGACAACATGGTCACAAGACTGGGACAGTCCCAAGGGGCTGACAGGGACTATGAGGATGGGGAGGAGGGCTACCTCGAGCTGTTTCACATCAGAGACAATGGTGACAGTCCTCAGACCTGCAATCTCTCCTCTTATCATCTGGCATAGCGTTTGATGTATCCATACACTTTGTCCCGGAAATCCTCCTTGTCTCATAAATGATGTTCAGCAGCTTCAATATTCAGTGGATCATCAAAATTCAAAAGATCAGTAAATAATGAGTTTAATCCCCAAACATCATCCTTCAGTGTCCTAGTGGGAACCCAGCCAGTGCCAACAATTTTATGTTCTCTTAGTAAACTTAGACATATTTCCCCTGTTTCAGTGTTGTTGGGGTGCCAGATTTCAGTCAAGCATTTCACCTTGGGAGGCACCATGCTGTAGGCATCAGGAACTTCAGTTTCAAACTGAAATTGTCCACCCTGGTAGTAACCCTCATCTGGGCTTACAGTCAGCTGAAAGCAATGAAGTTTGTTTGGATCAGGAAAATGTACTTTACATGTACAGGGTAAGTTAGCTTCAAGTTCTGCAACTTCTTTAACAAGCAACTTGTCTCTCACAGAAACCCTCTAAGTAGAGTCAGATGTGGAGGCAGATGTCCGGGATCCTTTGAGATTTTCATCTCGCTTCAGCTTGCTTGCCAGCCTTAGCATTACTGCCACCTTTCTGAGCACCGCGAGTCAGGCAAGGCAGGCCGGCACCAACACCATACCCAACTAGCTGAGGCAGCAAGACATGATAGCACTCACAGCCGCACCGGCTCCCGGTGGCGGGCTCGTTTTTTTTTTTTTTTGTTTGTTTGTTTTTTGTTTTTTGAGACAGGATTTCTTTGTATTGCTTTGGAGCTTGTCTTGGAACTTGCTCTGTAGACCACACTGGCTTCAAACTCATAGAGATCCGCCTGCCTCTGCCTCTCGGTGCTGGGATTAAAGGTGTGCACCGCCAACACCCGGCCTATCCAACCCAATTTCTTACCGATGAAATGAAGAGCATGTCTTATGGTTTCCATGTGTCCCAATGACAGAAATTTTAGGAAAAAGATGTAAAAAGTCACATGAATGTAGACCCAGGCTCATAAATATTGTGTTCTATTATGTTGAGATCTTTAGAACTAAGACAAACACACACACCACAAACACATGCACACACATATGCCCCACACAAACACACAATACACACCACACACACAATACACCACACACCCACCTACTATACCATATGCTCACATACACCGACACAAACACACAGCATGAATATGCACACAATACATACAGCATACCCACATGCACACACACATTTGATGCACATACCACATACATACATGCACAAGCACATACACAATACACTGCACACACATATACTTGTAGTTAGCACAAAGCAAAATATTGAACCCTTATCAAAAGCGTGTTTCTAAATTCATCCATATTGCCACATGTTGGATTTCTCCTTGGTGTATGTTGGGTTTTGGCATAAAGTGGGAGATTAAATTAGAACAAAGAGGGTAATGGGCTGTCAGTACTGGAAAATGCTTTGTTGACTGAATCCAACTCTTCATTTTCTAAACAGGAATCCCAGTCTCAAGAGGTTAAGTGACTTGTCTGGTGGAATAAACAGCAAGGGGCAGAGTTGAAATTTATACCAGACCGTTTAATATCTGAATCTGTGATTTTCATTCAACTACTAATCTCTCCAAAGATCTTCCTGAAGCTTATAAATTCCTGGTTATTCAAACAAAGCTCTATAACGTGAACACTGTAACTAAAATATTTTTTTTAAGGTTGCCCCAAATTGGCAGTTAGCTCTCCAGATGGGAATGCTCCTTTCAAAACAAAAGGGCTGTTTTGGTTTTCATCCTTTGAGAAGAAATTCAGACCATGATCCATCTTCCCTGAATCTATTTCTGCCTGCTCTCAGACTCACTCTTGTGGCTAAAAGCATTGCTAAAAATAGTAACAAAGAAAAAGACACTCGGACAAGAAGTAACAGTGGTAAGCAAACCACAGCCCAGCAGTCTGTGCTGTTTATTAGATTCAGGTCTTAAAATAGGAGCAGAGAGGATCTTGTGGACCCAGCCTTATTTTGAAATAAAATATACTATTTGAAACAGCAGTTGTCCTTGGGGATGATGTTAATTCACCTTTGTAACAAGTTGCCTTGTGGATGGCACAGTGTAGTAGCAGATCCTTGCAAAGGACCCATTTTTAGGTCTCATTTGACTGGAAGCCAATGGTTTCCATAGCATCACAGCCTGCAGACAGTCATAGTCTTCTTCAGAGGTAGCAAGGTGGGAGCTGGGGAGACGATCCTCTGGTTCCAATCACTCTTTCTGACGTAGATGTTGAGAGGATTAGGTGGTAGTAGCAGAATCAACAGTCCAATCTTGGTGGGGCTTTGAAGAATAGCAGCAGACTGAGACCTACAAGTCCCAGAAGAAGGGTAGAGTTTTCTCTGTGGCGTGACAGTTTTCATTGTAGACATAGGCTCCCTTCCCACCCGTTCGTTTTTTCTCTTTTGCTTTCATGTGTGCAGATACACGGTGTGCGTATTCATGTGTGTGCGTGCGCGTGCGTGTTGCATGATTTAATACAGAAGCCAGAGGCTGATGTTAGGTGTCTTCCTTAATCAGTTGCCACCTCACTTATTGCGACAGGGTCTCTCAGTGAGTCTGGAGTTCGGGATTTGTCTATGTTTGCTGGTCAATGAGTTCCAGGGATCTGTCTTCTGCCCCAGTCACCCAGTATTAGAGTTACAGGCACTCATCACCATGCTTAGTACGTAGGTGACAGAGGAAATACTCATGTTTGTGCTGACTGCAGGCACTCCAGGTGAGTATAGGTTTATTAGTTGAAGCTCCTAGACAAGTTTATTTGAGGATAACAAATAATTACCTCATTTCTCTTACACTGATTATGTTTGAGGATGAATATTCTCCTACTCATTCAAAGGCATGAGATGTTATTTCTATAAATGCACTGTTATTTTTGCTACCAAACATTCCTACAGGGGATGGACTGCCCTCAGATCCTTACAAATTACAACCTTAGGGTCAGGGATCAGTACACAGAATTTCTGTAGAGGCCATAAGTCTCCAGCTTATCGGCCATGTTGTCTGTTGTGAAGACTCACTTCTGTTGCTGGGGGAAGCTTTTACAGTCAGAAAGTAAACCAATAACTATGCTGTGCTATGGTAACATTTATACTAAAAGAGGGAGCAAGGCACCCAGAGTCTGCAACCTCTGCCAGAGAACACGGGCCTGTTCCCTATCTACTGAGTAACTTGGGAAAGAGAGTGGTGCATGTGGTAGATATAAGAAATAAAAAAGAAAAAGGAATCAAAGGTAGTCTCCAGGATTTCTTATATTTCATCAGCAACCAGCGTCATGGATTCCAGTTTTTCAATGCCTTTTTGTCATCTCCCCATAAAGGACGTTTTTGAACTGACTTTTTAAAAATCTTTTTTAATTTAAATTAGAAACAAGCTTGCTTCACATATCAATCCCAGGTCCCTCTCACTCCCCTCCTCCCCTGCCCCCCAAGCCCCTCAACCCTTCCACCTATTCTAGACTCCAGGGAGGGTGAGGCCCTTCATGGGGGGGTCTCCCAACAGTTTTATTTCACACCTCCTCACAACACATGCTCCCTATAGGCTATAGCTGGAGGTGTATTTGGTTTGTGTGCTGGCATATTTATTGACTCCTATAAGTAGAGTATAAACTCTTGAGGATAAAGATTTTGTCCCTCCTCCTCCTCCTTTTCCTTTTCTTCAGCAAACTTGGAGTTTACTAAGGAAAAATTGTAGGATATATTTAACCATGAATATGGAGAAAGGAAGGAAGATATGTAAGGGGACAATAGTACAAGCCCTAGAGTGGGCATGTCAGGCTTCTAAAGAGTCCAGTCTCCCTTCTGGAGATCGTAATTCCCCGTATTCTCCAGCACCTCCATAACTGAGATTTTAGAGTTATTGTATTAGTCAAGGTGCAGCAGAGAAAAGATGGCACACTTAAAAGAAGACGGGGCTTATTTACAGGGAATTTTAGAGAGTGCATTCAGGTGAGAAGAAGGAAAAGGACTAGTGTAGTGTTGTTCCTAAGCCCAAGACTTCTATAGGATTAGGTTGTCACAGGGACCTGAAAATAGAACAGCTTGTAGACACAAATTCCATGACAGGACAGGAAAGGAGCCAACCAACGGCAGCCTCTAGGATGGGAGTAGGAGAGAGAATGTTCTCAACACAGCCTCATCCCTCCCTCAGATCTGCTGGGACCCAGTCAGCTTCCAGGAGGCAGAGGAGTTGGTTCAGCTGGTGTAGTCCGCTGTGAACAGCTTCCTGGGCTGTTATTCCTTGTAGGTCCTCAGTATGAACTCCTGTTTGCAGGAGATCCTTGTCTCTGCCACTAGAACACAGAAAGTCCATCAGCTATTGAATCATGAGAGGGTGATGCCAGTGCTTTCACACCTGTGCCTGAAGAGAAACCATGAATGCTCATTGGGACTCTTAGGAAGGCCAATAAGACCCATAGCAGCTACCATCTCTCATTTGTAAGTGGACAAGGTATAACTTGATCAGTAGAGATTTGGGTCTTCTTTTCTCCCTCCCTCCCTCTCCCTCTCTCTCTCTCTGTCTCTGTCTCTCTCTGTCTCTCTGTCTCTCTGTCTGTCTCTCTCTGTCTCTCTGTCTCTGTCTCTCTCTTGTGTGTGTGTGTGTGTAAATGTGTGGACACGATGTGGCGGTCGGTCACAGGACAGACAACCTTGAGCATCATTCTGCCGTTTCTTGAGATAGAGTCTCTTACTGGCCTGAAACCTGCCAATTATGCTAGCCGGCCAGTGAGTCACAGCGTTCCACCTGTTTCCACCTCAGGATTAGATGTGCACAGCACCATGCCTTGCCTTCTTGTCCTTATTGTTTATGAACTCAGTCCCTCATGATTGCAAGACAAGCAGTTTACCAGCTGAGCACTCGTCCCAACCCAGGGTTCTGTTTTTCTACCACACATTCTATTTCTGTCTCTTTATCCTTTTGCCAGCACTGTAGTTGGACAGGGATTCTCTCCTGCTAAGATAAACTAAACTTTCATTCTTCTAAGATCCTACAATAAATAAACAAATCAATCTCAGGCTCTTAATATGAGTGTCTGTTTCCTGGTGTCACTTCTGGGACTCTTAATAGATGCAGCAAGACACACGTGGCAACTCAAATGTAATTCAAGTAGCATTTAACAAAGAGACCATCACAAAGGTAGATGAGACATAGCTTCTGACTTTCCCAACTAGTCAAAAAGGTTATCCCCTAGGGCAAGATTTGTGGGGTGTGCCCTTACCTGATTCTTCTTTCTTCCTGATGCTGCTATAGCCTCCAATTGTCTGATCTATGCAGGAACCAGAAGGTGAAGAGCTTGTTGGTGTGTTCATACACAGTGGCTTCTTTTGTTGTTGTTTAGAGACAGGGTCCCAGGATGGTTTGGAACTCACTATGTAGCTCAGAGGCCAGACAGGCCTTGAATTTGCATCACTCCTACCTCTGGAATGCTGGGATAGCAAGTGTGAGCCATGACATCATAAGGGTATCATAAGAGCTTCTTAAGGGCAGAGAACAGGTGAAGAAAGGTGAGAGGGTATCCTCAAGAACAAATCTTTGATATTCCCAAAACACCGGTGATTTCTTCTTCCTCTTCCTCCTCACCCTCCTCCTTCTCTTCCCTCTTCCTACTCTCCCTTGTCCCACTTACCTCCTCCTCTTCCTCCTTCTCCCCCTCCCTCTTCTTATTCTGCCCCTCTTCCCCTTTTTTGAAATGAAGTCTTCTTCTGAGGCCCAGGCTTGCCTTGAACTCATGGTAATCTTTGTTACTCATGCGGCACACCGTTAGTCCTTCATGTGACCCACTGTTAGTCCTGCATGTGACCCACTGTTAGTTCTGCATGTGGCCCATTGTTAGTCCTGCATGTGATCCAGTGTTATTCCTGCATGTGGCCCACTGTTAGTCCTGCATGTGGCCCACTACTAGTCCTCCCAGCATCTCTGTCTCCAGTCTGCACTATCTCTTTGTACCTTATAAAGTTACCCTGCTTCTTTTGTGAGGCTGTCTAAGTCTTTATTTTAAATTTTTTGGATAAGAAGCCAAGGACCTAGAAATATCCGGCCAAGATCTTGACCACTGTTAATATTCCTCCTTGGCATGTCTGGTGACAGATTTACTAAAATGATTCTTTTTTTTCCTTTTTTGAAATTTAGTTTAAATTAGAAACAAGTTTGCTTCACATGTCAATCCCAGCTCCCTCTCCCTTCCTTCCTCTCCTGCCCCCCTGCAACCCTCCCCCAATCCCCACTCCACTCTCCAAAGAGGGTGAGGCCCTTCATGGGGGATCTCAAAAGTCTGTCATAGTTTAGGCCCTCCCCCATGTGTCCAGGTGGAGAAAGCATCCTTCCACGTGGAATGGGTTCCCAAAGTCCCTCTGGATGACAGGGCTAAATGCTGATCTATTGCTCGAGGCCCCAAATAATGCTGAGGCCTCCTCACTGACACCTATATTCAGAGGGTCTGGATCAGTCCCATGCTGGCCTCTCAGTCATCAGTCTGGGGTCTATGAGCTCCCCCTTGTTCAGGTCAGCTGTTTCTGTGGGTTTCACCCGCCAAGTCTTAACCACTTTGCTCATCACTCCTCCCCAAATGATTCTTAAAACTAAACAAAATTCTATTTTTGATGACTTCCAATCATTGACAAAATAAAATCGGAACTAGTTTAGTCACTATTTAAAATCTCCTGCAATCTTTTCCTCATCACCACTTACGCTGTTGTTAAATTTGTTTTCCTTTGTAACTCATGTCAGATAACAATTTCCCCTCATCAATTCTTACAGCTCCATTTAAAATTCTCTCTTTAGGTAAAAGGTACAGCAAATCAAAGTTGCTTTTGAGAAATAGTCAGTTCATTGGTTCATTTGCTATTTGGATGCTTTAATAGTTCCAGAAATACAAATGAAAAGAATGAAAAGGTGTTCAGGACGTCCTTAGCCATGAAGAATTTGCAAATAAAAAATGCTTTGAAATTCCATCCAACCTCAGTCAGAATGACTGTCATCAAGAAATCAAATGACAACAAATGCTGGTGAGGATTTGGAGAAAAGGGATTCCTTACTCACTCCCAATGCCAATGTGAATTTTATGCAGCTGCTACAAAAACCAGGAAAGAGGTCCCTCAAAAAGCTGAACATGGAATTGAAATACAACTGACCTAGACTACTCTAGGTTATATAAACAAGGAACTTTTAAGTCAACATACCATACATTGCACACCCATGTTTACTGCTGTGCTAGTCACAATAGCTAGGAAATGGAGCCAGCCAAGATGTCTATCAGTGAATAAACAAAACGTGGTGCATATACACAATGGAATTTTATGCCACCATAAAAAAAGAAATAATGACATTTTCTAAAAAAAATAGTGCAACTGGAAATCACTGTTAAATTATATAAGCCAGACTGACAAAGACAATACTGCATGTTTTCTTTCAAACATGGAACAATATTTAAAAGTGTATATATATATATATATGTGTGTGTGTGTGTTTATGTGTATATGTATTTACATATGTGTGTTTGTAGATCATGAAGCTACAAAGATCATGAGAGGGGTGGATGAGATCTTAAGGGAGGTAGAAAAGTAAGAGAGTAATAGAGTGCCTGTAAATAGAAAAGCAGAAGGAAGAAGTAACTGGGGTAAGAAAGGGAGCCAGTTGGAGGAAGGGAAGGGATATGGCAGGGGAGACCAAGCAAGCACCAAGTGTAGTAGTGAACACATGTGACCCACTGTGATGCAGCTCATTACTTTGTGTCCTAACTAACCTGGAAGGCTAATGAAATATTTAAAAAAGTCAAAGCTCCCTCTTCCTCCCTCTCATCGTACTTATGCAGCACACTTTCCTTTAATGCATTCCATTGTGTTCTTAAATCATATTAGGGACTTTGGTTATACCATTTAGTTTTCATGGGAATCTAGCAATATGGCTATTTTTATTCTGTATCACAAATAACAAGAACTGGCCGTATCCACATTGCTCCACTGACAAGTCTTAGCTTAACTAATGGCTACAGGCTCAAAAGTAGGAACTTCCTGATGTAACATAGTATAAGGTTTAGAACTGTCCTACAAAAATACTTCATACAGGTCTAACCAAGTCTTTACATCTGACCAACAACTTTCAGGAAATACAGAGAAGAGAGACTCTTGCTGAAATATGATGTAACAAAGAAACAAGGAGGGAGGGCAGACAAAATATGAAAAGGGACTTCCTTTAAGACAACGGTCTTGATTTCAGTCAAATATTAAATTTCTTGAAGAAAAAGAGAGTATTCTACATTAAGAGCTATAGTGGATGTTATCACCAAGCTCAATGCCTGTTCTCTGCTGGTATTTCTGTTTGTCTGCAGTCATAAAACATATAGCAGCCATTGTAGCTCAGGCTTATGTTTGTCTTTTCCAGGCTGTAGAGATGTTCCTGCCCAGTCCATATCCTCTTGGCACACGCTGTTCTCATACTATGCGTGCTAGAGGCTCTTGACTGTCTGTGACAAAGGCTCTTGGGTACAGAGGCTCTGCCTGGGGCCTTCTTTTGGTCCATCCAAGTCCATAAGGGGTTGGAGCAGGGACCTTGAGAGTATTCCTCAGCCAATGAAAGAAAGAGCAGGGGATATTTCTTTTTAGTGAACTGTGCTGAGAAGTGGTGTCCACCATTTCCCAGAGATTTCTGAGCTTACTCACTGAAAAAGCCACTAGTATATCCTTTCTCAGACTTCAAATTAAAACTGTGATACTGTTACTTTCTCCAAGCAGGGAGAATGTAACTATTGAAACCATGAAGCGGTTTGCTTTAGGGACCTAGAGTAGCCCAGTCACCACAAGGAAATAAGTAAACACCATAGCTATTGGTTAGGCCTAATGGTCTTAGTAATGAAGCTGCTCACACTTCCTAGAGGAAGAAGGCAGGAAGGGCATGAGACCTGAGATTCCAGTCAGCACTCTAATGGGACACAACAGTGGGGAGTGCTAGACTCTGTAGGAAATAAAAGGTTAATAGGCAGTCAGAACTCTTCAGTGCTGCAACAGCCTGTCAGACATGCTGGAGGTGAGATTTCCTGATGGTATGGCTGCTTTTTAGTCACACACGCTCCTCTAAGTAACCTCAAAGGCCTTATTTGCTTGCCAACCTGGACTTGTGCAGAAACCTTTCTTTAATCAGTTAATTAGAGTAGACATTTTAAAGACGTCTCCCAATGAAAAGTGATACAACAGAAATCGTGTCAAACCTGCTCTGCTCACCAGCCATTTCCTCATTGACCCACTCTGTGATGGAACTGGTAAGAGGTTCTGTGACACCTTCATAGTAAGGTGCTGGGTTTTGTAGTAACACAAACCAAAGGCTGTTCCTGGCTTCTTTATGTCGTGACTGCCTGCTTTGATTCAACTAATATTCTCATGTGTGAAAAGATGACATTATTCTATTTATACTTTCCGCTTACAACCTGGCACAGGTGTGGGTGCTATTTTGTTTTATGTTGTTCCTGGTACTTGACTTATGATCACCCATAAGAGTTCATAAGTCCAGCTAAGGATTCAGAAGAGACTCAGAGGTAGCAGGTGCGATAGCATTAATGGTCTCACATGATTGCTTGATGCAGAGCAGACAGGCATATCCATGTCTTCTCTCACCAGCAGAATTCATTGAATAATAGTAAATTCACAAGCTGTGTCAGTTTGGGTGGCTACAATTTACTAAATAATTAAGATTTCCCTTGATAGCTGGCTCTTGGTAATCACAGATTCTTTTATTCCAGTCTTCATTGTGAATTATCTATTTTGTCTGGCTTACAGAATGGCTGCAAAAGGAACAAAGAGGCTACAGAGTTCAAAGAGGTCTTAATAGTGTCTGATCCAAGCAGGGTGTTCACAGTGAGGTCCCAGTGACAGGCAAACAGATGGGCGATGGATAGAGGATGGTTGGATGGCAGGATGGCAATTTGAGAGAGATACATCAGGCTAAGCCAAGAAAAACACTCATATGAGACTCTGTAAACAGTCAGAAATCCTCCATCAATTCCTAAAGACACCACCCCCACACACACACCATGTCGTCAGATGGCCTGTTGGAAGGACCTTCACCATTACATTTTAGGTTTCTTTTTTAAAGGACCTGTTTTTATTATTTTAAGTTATATTTATGCATGTCTCTGTAGAGGTATGTGCACATGAATATAGGTGTCTGTGAAGGCCAGAGGAATCAGATCCCTTGGAGCTGGAGAAACAGATGTGTGTGAGCCACCTGATATTGGTTCCTGGAAACAAACTCAGGTCCTCTGCAGTTTCAGTACAGGGCATCTTTCAGGCCCTTAAATGGCTTTGTAAAAATGGATCTGAATTTAGAGGGCACCCGATATCAGGCCCATGTTCCCCAGGACAGAGGACTGCACCAG